TTATTTATTTATTTATTTATTTATTTATTTATTTATTTATTTAGTCTTTTGGAAACAGGGTTTCTCTGTAGCCCCAGCTGACCTGGAACTTGCTATGTAGAACAGGCTGGTCTTGAACTTGAGAGATCTGCCTGCCTCTGCCTCCCAGTGCTGGGATTAAAAGCATGTACCACCATGCCCAGCAATTAGATAATTCTTGAAACTCACTTCCCAGGCGATTTTAGGTTGTGCCTGTAAAGTTGACAGTTACAACTAATCAACGCAGGGGGTAATAGGACAGGATGCTGGATGTTAGTGGAGAAGAGCAGCAGGCCAAATATGGTGACTGTGAGGCAAGAATGAGAGAAAAATAGAGGTAGATATCAAAAAGACATAAACATGAAAAATTAAAAACACATGCAGATCCTTGCTGACTGGTCCATGGCAAATCTAATCTTCTCAGCCCTCAATTTACTCACCTTAAAAATGTTGATAAAGCATACCTTTAATTCCAGCACTCGGAAGGCAGAGGCAGGTGGATCTCTGTGAGTTCAAGGCCAGCCTGGTCTACATAGTGAGTTCCAGGCTAGCTGGGGCTACAGGGAGACCCTGTCTCAAAAAGCCAAAAAAAAAAAAAGCCAAAACAAAACAAAAAAACCCCACAAAATCCCCCAAAATAAAAAAACCAAACACTACTCAGGTAACGATTACATAAAATGATACATGTAAAGAATGTAGCCAGGTGTTCACACACATGCATGTAATCATAGTATGTGGAATGTTGGGGTAAGAGGATGGAGAGTCCCAGGCCAGCTTGGGCTACATAATGAGACTCTGTCCTAAGTAAACCAAGGCTTAGAGTGTATAGTTTAGGGATTGTTCTAATTTGTTTCTTCATTACTATGACAAAACACTCTGACCAATACCTACTTGGGGAAGGTTTATTTGGCTTGTATCTCCAGGGTCACAGTTCTTCAGGGAACCCAAGGTAGGAACTCACGGCAGGAACCTGGAGGCAGGAGCTGAAGCACAGGCCATGGAGGAATGCTGCTTACTGGCTTGCTCCTCTAGCCCGTGCTTAGCCTGCTTTCTTATGCATCACAGGACAACCTGCTCATGAGTGGCACCACTCACAGTGGGTTGGGCCCTCCCACATCACTCAACACTCAAGAAAATACCCCACAGATACGGCCACAGTTAGTCCAATGGAGGAAATTTCCCAATTGAGGCTCCCTCAACCCAGGTGTGTCAAGTTGACAACTAAAGCTTGCAGCAGAGTGATAAAGCATATGCCTATCATGTTCAAGGTCCCGAGTTCAAGTCCCATATCCCCAGAACCAATGACGAGGTGGGGGAAAGGATGGAGGGTGATGATGCCTCTGGTGCTAGAAATCAGTCAAACATGTTATTACTGAATGTGAAATGTCTTTGTTAAGGATTACACTGGCAAAAAATCGGAATTGTTATGTGCTTTGCAAATGTAACCCACTTATGGCATCCTTTTAATTATTCATCAAACTGCAAAAGTTATTTATAGCTAAGGCTGTGGAATACATCAGTATTAAATGTTTCTTTCAACAGGGGAATCAATGCTGTTAGGTTAGCTGGGTTATTTTGGAATAACTCTTTGTATTTTCATTTTGATAGTTATACTGACTACTGAAGACCTTGGAAAGCCAGGTTTCTTTGGCAGAGAGGGAACTTTGTGAACTAGCTTATGGCTTTCTTTCTTTCTTTCCTTCTTTCTTTCTTTCTTTCTTTCTCTTTCTCATTAGTACTTTGTTATTTTTATTTTATGTGTGTGTATAAGTAAGTGCACCCGTGTCATGCAGTGCCCACGGAGGACAGAAGAGGCTGTTGGATCCCCTGGAACTGGAGTTACGGACAGTTGTTAACTGACATGTGGGTGCTGGGATATGAATCCAGGTCTTCTGCAAGAACAGTCAATGTTCTTAAACACTGAGCCATCTCTCCAGCCCACTTACGGCTTTCTTAAGGGCCATTGTTAGGCAGCTAGGATCCGGGTTAGTCCCAGGCAAAACCACATCAGTGGGATTGTCTTGGTTTGCCCTTTTCTCACCCCATCTGTTTAATCCCCTGAGGCCCTAGGTGCCAGGCCCAGGGATTGGGTGTGGGGGTACATTATTAGTGTGCAAGATCAGGTTGATCTCTGTCCTCACAGAATCCATAGGCTAGTCAGGAAGACTGATAATGAAGGAAAACTTAAAGCATGATCAAAAGAGGAAATCCAGACTGCAAGTAAGCTTTAGAAAACATGCTTAACTTCGCCACTAATCAAGGAAATAAAATTTAAAGCCCAACTAGACACTAATTCCCCACCACGTCACATGGCAACGACAAAGTCTGTCAGTTCCAAATCTGAAGAGGATGTGCTCAACAGAGGCTCTCTTACACTGCTAGCTGGTGTGAATGGATACACACTTCGCAGAACAAGGTGGCAGTATCCAGTAAAGCTGGTGTTCACCCTCTGAGCAGCAGCTACTCCCAGGCGCTCCACTCACACCTGTGTGTAAGGATACAGGAACAAGAATGTTCACAGCAGGGGCTGGAGAGATGGCTCAGTGGTTAAGAACACTTACTGCTCTTGCAGAGAACCCAAGTTCAGTTCCCAGTACCCACATGGTGGCTAACCACTGATAACTCCAGTTCCAGGGTATCAAATCCCTTTCCTGGCCTGTGCACATATGATACACATAAACTCATGCAGCCTAATAAACATACACAAAGATAAAAATAAATCCTTTAAAAAGTATTCATAGCAGAGTGTGTACAATAGCAGACAACAAAAAACCAGAAACAATCTAAATGTCCATCAGTAGTAAATGTGGTGATAAATAATATATTAGGACCACACAAAGAATATTAGATAGCAGTAAAAATGAAAAGAGGGTCTTGGGGGTATAGCTCAGTGGCAGAGCACATGTGTAGCTTGTATTACATTCTCAGAGCACGGGTGCGCGCGCGCACACACGCACGCACGCACAAAAGAGGTATAATGTGAGTTGGATGAATCTCACAGCCATTAATTAAGCATGATATCATTTATATGAAGCTTAAAGACAGACAAAGCAGCATGATGCAGTGTATGGTTTAGTGATCCAGAGAACTTCATGGGAATGTTAAGCACCAGAGTCAAGAACATGTTTACATTTGGTAGTTGGAGTAGGAAGTATTGGCGGAAAGGGGGCGGGGCTAGCCAAGGCACAGGGTGAGTTCCGCTGTGCTAGATTGCCTTTACTTTGTTTTTAATAATTTTTATTTATTCTTTGACAACTTCATACATGCACATAATGTATTTTGAACATAACCTCCCCTATTTCCCTGTCTTAAACCTCTCCCATTCCCTCTGATACCTCTCTTCTTCCTAACATGTGTCCCTCCTACTTTCATATGTGTGTGTATGTATGTATATGTGTGGCGTTATTTACTGGATCATGGGCAACTACCAGAACTATAACTATGTCGAGTAGCTTGATCTTGTGCAGGTCTTGCACAGGCACCCACAGCTGCTGTGAGTTCATGAGTGTGATGGTCATGTATTCAGAAGACAGTGTTTATAGCACTTTTCCCCATCCTCTGGCTTTTACATTTTTTTTATCCCCTCTTCCACAATGTTCTCTGAGTCTTGGCAGGAAGGATATAGCACTTTTCCCCATCCTCTGGCTTTTACATTCTTTTTATCCCCTCTTCCACAATGTTCTTTGAGTCTTGGCAGGAAGGGTCATATGGAGGTCCTGTTTAGGGCTGAACACTCAACAGTCACTGATTCTCAACACTTTGATGGGTTGAGTTTCTGCATCAATTACTGCATATTGCAAAGAAGCTTCTTTGACTAAGCAGCACCGATCTATGGATATAAATATAAATATTTAGAAGGCAGTTTGGCACCGGGTGTGATGGCACACACCTTTAATCCCAGCACTCAGGAGGCAGAGGCAGGCTAATCTTTGTGAGTTCAAGGCCAGCCTGGTCTACATAGTGAGTTCTAGGACAGCTGGGACTACAGGGAGACCCTGTCTTAAAAAGACAAAAAGAGAGAGAGAGAGAGAGAGAGAAAGAAAGAAAGAAAGAAAGAAAGAAAGAAAGAAAGAAAGAGAAAGAAGGCAGGCAGTTTGACAGTTTAGTAGTTTGACATATCTATTTAGTCAAAACAATAGAAGATTCCCACCTAGGGCTTATGTCTTCTTCAGCCATGGGCTTTTAACCAGATTTACAGTGCCAGGCATGAATGCCCTCCTGTAGAGCAGGCCTCGAATCCAATCAGAAAGTGGTTGACAACTTCCATAACATTCATGCCACTATTGTACCAGTGGGTACATTTTGCCTGGCAGGTCAGTACTGTAGCATTCAAGATCCACTGTTGTGTAAGACCATTGATGACTTTTCTCCCCCTGTAGCCTGCATAGCACCTTCCAGCACTATGAAAGGTATGCTGTGCTGAATTTCTTAAGGTCTGTGGTAGATAGGTGCACGCTCTTTTTACCTATGTATAGTTCTTAAGTGGTTGATAATATATTAGAAGTAAGGTAGAATGAAACTGGCTATGAGAAGGAAAACAGGCAAAGCTCAGGGCACCCTTGCAGAAGCAGACAGAACCAAGGAAGACTTCTTAATGTTAAGTAGCATTTACTATAAGACCAGAGGAGGAATTAAACAAAGGGGAGGAGGAGGAAGTTTGGTCCAGGAAGAGGGCAAGCCCAGGGGTAAGAGAAAGTTTGGCATAATAATTGAGTCTGCAGTATAAAGTATAGGTCTGGAATGTATGCCTTCTCCCAAGGGCAACAGGGAGGTAGCCAATCACAGCAGCTTAAAGCAGGGGAGTGATGCAGTCGTGTTTTCATTCTGGAAGTCTCTAGCCACAGTTTGGAGGGAGATTGGAGGATGTAGGACCCAATATAGGACGAGTTTGGAGGCTACATTAGAGATGGTGTGGTAGAGAGTGAGGGAGAGACCTAGGGCCAGATGGACAGGGTAAGACTTGGGAGACAAAATAGACAGACAAAACTGATTACCTCTGATTCTCTGGCCATCCCCTTATTGTGAAAGCGATGTACATGTAGCATCTTAGAGTGGAGGTTTCTGGAAAATCAAGTGGGCTAGATGCACTTCTAAGTTCTGAAGGCTATCTTTGTGTATGGATTTTGACAACTTTGGGGTTAAGTAGTCTTGAATTTGAATCCCAACCTTGTCACTTGAAGGCTTTATGATGCTGGGCAAGGCACTCTCCAATCTTCAGTTCTCTCACCTAGTAAATGAACAGAAATCTTACTAATGAGCAGAAATCATGAATGTAAAAACATGTCGCTCAATAGCTGGGTGACAGTAAACAAGTAAAGTTTCTCATGCTCCACTTCACCTGCCATCTACCCCCAGGTCAGTTCTACAAAGTGTGGAAGCACATCCGTTTTGTTGGCTGTGCCCCAGGCCCCTTGATGTACCTCAAGTTACCTTTTATACTTTTCACTGAGCATGTTCAGATCTAAGCTTCAGCTTGTGACTCCTAAGACAGGAATTCTCCAGGGTTACCACTTGCTTTCCCCAGAAAACATGAAACCTAACACATAGCACAAAGCCTAGTAGGCTGTGCCCCTGCCAGAGATCTTAGTCCCTGTTTCCTTACAGGTCCAAATGGGTTCCCCGGGGTGACTACATCGCCTCCAACACGGACGAATGTACAGCCACACTGATGTATGCTGTCAACCTAAAGCAGTCTGGCACAGTTAACTTTGAATACTACTACCCGGATTCCAGCATCATCTTCGAATTTTTCGTAAGTCCCAGACTGGGAGGGGAGAGAGGAGAGCATTGGGGGAGAGGGCAAGACCCCCTGAGGCACAAATTCATTTTCAGGAATCAGTCACAAGTGTGGCTACACTTGGAAAATTATGTTTGTTTTCTCCCAAGAAAGCTGAGGGTAAAATGAGCTTGAGACCTCAGGAGACAAGGACAAAAGACAAAGGCAGAGGGACGCTAAGTGGGAGGACAGAGTCTGTGAAATTTCCAGGCATTTTGTCCTGTTCAGACATGATATAACACACAAGGGGCTGAGTTGCAAATTATTTCCCTGGTGTCAGTACTCAGATGTTTTGTGTGTAGCTAGCTCCCACCTGCTTCAAGGCTTATGAGTTCTGAGTTTGATCCTAGAGGAAATTGGCAGCTTTTTCCCATGAAAGCATTCTCTAGAGCACTGTGCAGCGTGGGGTGAGGCTCTCATCTCTTCAGGACGCTGAACATCTTATCAAACTCTTGTCTCAGGTCCAGAATGACCAATGTCAGCCCAATGCTGATGACTCCAGGTGGATGAAGACCACAGAGAAAGGATGGGAATTCCACAGTGTGAGTACCACACTAGCTGATCCCTAGAGGTCTCAGAGAAGGGGCCAATGGCCTTCTTCAAGGAGAGCATCCACTCCGTTGCCCCTGGAGGGAGGAGTCTGAGCTGTGGGAGTTCTCCTTATGAGTGATAGAATAGGCTGTATGGTGGCCTGTTTGCTCCTATGACTTCATAGGACTTTGAGGCTAGACTTCCTGGAAGACCGGAGAAGATTGAGGGAATACCAGTCAGCCCTACTGCCAGTCCCTTCTGGTTCCATTATCATCTCTCCATAAGAGGTGATCTGCTCATGATATATATAATACAAGGAGTGGGGCACAGGGAAGTATGAGAGGGTGAGAATAACAAAGCAGATGCGCTGAGAAGGGCTAAGCTGAAGAAGAGGAGGCAGAGGGTCAGAACAAGCACTACCTATTCAGCAAGGAGTTCAACAGGTATATTAGTGATGCCTGTCTCTGCAATGAACCAACGCCTACTTTATGTCATTTTATTTTAGGTCGAGCTAAATCGAGGCAATAATGTCCTCTATTGGAGAACTACAGCCTTCTCAGTGTGGTCCAAAGTGTCCAAGCCTGTGCTTGTGAGAAACATCGCTATAACAGGTACCAAGTGCAAGGCTGGATCTGGGGATCCATTGCAATCTTCCTGGACTTTGACTGTGAGAGGAAGGTGGGAGATGGTCCCTAAAGTCTGTGTCTGGTCTCAATCCTTGGTTTTCTGTATCGTTCTTCCTCCCCAGGGGTGGCCTACACTTCGGAGTGTTTTCCCTGCAAGCCTGGCACATATGCAGCCAAGCAGGGCTCCTCTTTCTGCAAGCTTTGTCCAGCCAACTCTTACTCAAATAAAGGAGAAACCTCTTGCCATCCATGTGATCCTGACAAATACTCAGGTGATGTTTCTGAGGGAGTGAAATGAGGGCAGAGTTGGGTACCAGCAAGCACATGGGAGAAACCAGGAAGTGGAACCATCTTACTGGCCATGCTTAAGACAGTAATTCTTTTCGTTTCTTTTTTTCTTTTGTGTTGGGGGCAGATATTGACATAGCGTCTTATGTAGCCCAGATTGAATTCACTATATATCCAAAGCTGACTTTGAACCTCTGTTCCAATATTACAATCATGTGCCACAATGCCTAATATTTAAAAAATGTAAACAATTATTGTCAAAGTTAATTTATAATAACAAAGAGGCTGTACTAATGAGCACAAACTTTTAAAAGTTTTATCTTTAAGTGACAAATAATTACATATGTATTTGTGAGATGCGATGTGATGTTTCAGTGGATTTCTGCTTTGTCAAATCAGGCTGCTAGCACAACCATTTTGTTGGGAAAGACTGAAGATGAAAGTTAGGATCTTTTATAAGACTAAATAGTAGCCACTGGATCCAAAGCAAGCTTTTATGGTTTTTTTTTTTTTTTTAATGATTGCTTTTGCCAGCTGTGGTGGTGCACGCCTTTAATCCCAGCTCTTGGGAGGCAGAGGCAAGCAAATCTTTGTGAGTTCGAGGCCAGTCTGGTCTACATAATGAGTCCTAGGACAGCTGGGGCAACAAGGAGACCCTGTCTCAAAAAGACAAAAAAAAATATTGTTTTTGAGAGAGAGAGAAAAAGAGAGAGAGAGAGAGAGAGAGAGAGAGAGAGAGAGAGAGTTTATATACACCATTTGTATGCAGAAGCCCACTGAGGCCAGAGGGTCAGATCGCCTGGTACTTGAATTACAGGCAGTTATGAGCCACCTGATGTGGATGTTGGGAACCATACCAGATCCTCTACAAGAGTGGTACATGCTCTTAACTGCTGAGCCATATCTCCAGCCCTTGTCTTGTAGGTTTTTTTTGTTTATTTTTGAGATAAGTTTTGCTATTTTGCCCAGGCTGGCCTGTGGGTCTAGGGCTCCTGGGCTCAAGCCATCCTCCTGCTTCAAGCTCCTGAGGCCTGTGCCACCATGCCAGTCTCTGAAGCAGATATTTTGGAGAAATCCAAGGTTCCTTAGAGCACAGTTTGAAAACAGCAACTCTAAAGTGGGAGAAGCCTCCAAAATCATCCTGATTTGAAAAACAGGAGCTGGGACTAGGGGAGATGGCTCAGCTATTTAGAACACTTGCTGCGCTTGCAAAGAACTGGAATTTCATTCCCAGCACCCATGGTGGAGGCGCACATAGTTACTCTAGTTCCCAGAGATCTGATACCTTTTTCAGGCCTCCATGGGCACCTACACTCATGTGCCCATACCCACACACAGACATATATACATATAATTTAAATTTTGTTTAAATAAATCTTTAAAAAAAGAAAGAAAAAGAAAAACAAGACCTGGTTATTTGAGAAGGTTTCTGGAGCATCAAAGCACTGGAGTAGCATAGGCAGTGTCATCAAAGGGCTCTCTGCTCAGTCAGCGCAGTGACAGGTACCCGACTACTCTAGAGTAAGTTTTGAAGCCAGGAAGGAGAAAGTCTGGTCTGCTTCCCCCCCCACCCCCCGGCAACCCTCATCATGATTCTGTTTTCCATTCTTACATAGAACCATGAACAAACCCAGCACAGGGACCATTCTTAAGACCCACATCCCTCACATTCCCACATGTCAAACAGGTTAATCGTGATGTGTATTTGCTTAACCAGGTCCAGCCATTGACCTTGTGGATTGCTTTTTTCTACACTACTCCTAAAACAAAAGACCTATTTATCTATACAGATCTTGCCAAATGTGTGTAGTTCTTCAGCCAACAGGAAAGTTTAGATCAGGGAGGAAGTTTCTAACTATAAGTCTAAATTCCTGTTTTTCCACTTGAATTTCTTATTCACTTTCCACCTCTATCAATGTTGGCCTTTGTTAGTCTGTCTCTGGTTCTGTTTCCAACTCAGCAGTTGTGCAAGGGTTTGAATGACAAGTTGACTGTAGAAAAACTACTGAGGAGTGTTTTGGTCAACTCTATATAACCTGATTTTTATCTCAGAGCTGGCATGAAATTGTTAGGTTTGGAGCCTGAATTCTTAGAGTCTATTCTTCTGCCATTGATTTCACAATCTGCCTCTTAGACTGAGAAGTGAGCTTTTAACATGAAGAATATGGTCACTTTGTTGACTACCTAGCCAGCCTGAGCACAAAGAGATGTCATACTTATTTGACAGTTGATACAGCATTATCTCATTTATTACTCAGAGCATAGTGTGGAAGGAAGTTCCCCATTTACAGATGAAGAACGTACATTTAGAGAAGTTGGGGGGCCCTTGCTAAGAGTCTGAGCTAGTCTGAGCTGTGCCCTTGTGTTCATTAGGTCCTGGGATCTGCCAAGGAAATGTTTTCTTTTGATAAAAAAAAGGTCCAAGGCAGAACATTGTACTCCTAGAAATGGGGAGAAGATACTGATAGGAGGAGGCAGGTGTGGAGAGAGGAGCTTGGGACCCCAGAGATAAACTATCTTCTTACCTTTTAGCCCAGGGCCAGCCCTTCTCAAGCCACATTCTGTCCCTCAACCTATGAAACATCTAGTCTACTTTTCAAACTTGACTAGTACCCAGCCTGAACCTTGGTGAAACCTGAGCTAGGAAAGTGAGGTCTGGCTTAGCATTTGGGTTAATCATTTACTAAAGCCATTTTCACAGTAATCTGTATATAAACAGCTAGACCATTTCTGTTAGACCTAGATCTAGAGTGTCAGGTTGAGCAAATATTTGACAAGCAGAGCAAAGATCTTTGTGCCAAATGCATTTTCTAACACATAATTTGTGCTTTGCCTGGGAATTGGCACATTTTCATCATCTCCCCACAAATCTCTCCTGGACAAGTCGGTAAACAGCATGCCTCCCTGGTCCCTCTCTGCTGAACAGTGCCTTCTGCTTGTTAAATGAGGTGAGAAGACCCCAGCTGTTTCTCAGTCATTCATTCCCTCTTGCCCAGACTAATAAGACAGGGACAGAAGAGATGGGGAAACTCCCCAGTGCAGGCCAACAAGACTGCCATTAGGAGAGTCTCTGGTCCAGGAAGTCATTTGGGAAAGTAAGGATGGGTTGAGAAGGAAGCACCCCACTAGAAATAAGGGGAAGTGACTTTCAATCCTTATTAAGTCTCCTGAGGCAGTTCTCATATAAAAGAATGTGCCAACTTTCAGGTAATAATAGTTACCGTCACTTGTTTTATTTTTTATTTATTTTATTTTTATGTGTATGTGTGTTTTGTCTGCAAGTACATAAGTGCAGTATGTGCATGCAATGCCCACAGAAGCCAAAAGAAGGTGTCAGAGCCCCTGGAACTGGAGTTACGGATGGTTGTTAGCTGCCAGGTGGGTGCTGGGAACTGAACCCAGATCCTCTGCAAGAGTAGCCAGTACTGTTAACTGCTGAGACAGCTCTCCAACCCCTATTTTTTTATTTTTTGAAAGATTTTATTTTTATGTGGATGAATGTTTTGCCTACATGTGTCCTAAGTGCACCTGTGCATGCAATGTCCACAGAGGCCAGAAGAGGGCATTGGATCCCCTGCAACTGGAGTTACAGGTGATTGTTAGATGCTAGGACCTGAACCTGGGTCCTCCACAAGAGAAGCCAGTGCTTTTAACTACTGAGCCATCTCTCCAGCCCTATTATTTTTAAGATTTATTTTATTATTTATTTATGTAATATGTGGCTATGTGGGTATATGTGCATGTAGGTACCTTCAGAGGCCAGAAGAGAGTGTCTTCTGGAGCTGGAGTTACAGGTGGTTGTAAGCAACTGAATTCTGGTCCTATGACAGAGCAGCAAGCATTCTTAATGACTGAGCCATCTCTCAGCCCCAGTTACTGACATTTTGAGAGTATCTAATTACAGTGGTCCAGGCATGTGCTGGCTCCAGCAAAGTAGATGGTATTATTCCTGCTTATGGATGAGAGGACTTAGAGAGGTTAAGTAACTTGCCTAACATGACACAGCTACTAAAGGATGAAGCAGAGGCCAAACACAGTTCTCTCTAGTTTAAAATCTCATTTGATGACACCATGCTGCCTATCAGGTACTATACAGAAGGAGAGATGGTCTTACTGTCATTAAGTGATCACCTGCTGAGGACACAGCATTCATATTAGAAGTAGTGGAGGCAGAAGTTGGGGTATTATAATAGACACCCTATTAATTGGTGTGTTCTTTTTGTTCTGTGTAGTGTGCATTTATGCATATATGTGTTCACACATGTATGTACAGGTGCACATGCATGAATGTGTGCCTACATACAGAGGACCAAAGTTTAATGTTGGGAACCTTCCTCAGTTGCTCTCTACCTTATTCATTGAGGCTGTGTCTCTCAGTTGAACACAGAATCCAATAATTCGGTTAGTTTAGCCAGTCAGCTTGCTCCAGGATCCCCTGTTTTTGTCTTCCAAGTATTGAAATTACAGGTGGGTTGCCACGCCCACCTGGCATTTATGTGCCTTCTGGGGCTCTAAACTCTGGTTCTCATGTTTGTGCAGCAAGCACTGTAACAACTGAGTCATCTCCTGGTCTAAAGTATCATTTTATTCTGCAGAAAGACAATTCCACCACCAGTCAGCTTGCTCCAGGATCCCCTGTTTTTGTCTTCCAAGTATTGAAATTACAGGTGGGTTGCCACGCCCACCTGGCATTTATGTGCCTTCTGGGGCTCTAAACTCTGGTTCTCATGTTTGTGCAGCAAGCACTGTAACAACTGAGTCATCTCCTGGTCTAAAGTATCATTTTATTCTGCAGAAAGACAATTCCACCAGAAATTTAAAAATTTGTATTTGCATGGTAGTGCACACCTTTAATCTCAGCAGGTGGATCTCTGTGAGATAAAGGCCAGCCCGGT